CATCCTCATTATCCCCATTTTTTTTTTTTTTTTTTTTTGGTAGAGGGGATTGGACTCAGGACCTTGCCCTTGCTAGGCAGGTGGTGGCACCACTGAGCTAAATCCCGGCCCCTAAATCCACTTTCTGATTTCTTTTAGATATTGGCCTTGGAACAGAAGGTTTTTTGGGGGGAGGGGTAGAGTCTCACTAATGCTGCTTAGGCTGGTCTTGAACTCCTGGGTTCAAGTGATCTTCTTGCCTCAGCCTTCAGAATAACTGGCACTCACAGCACTGCACCCCACACTGAGATTTTTAGTAGCAGTTTTAGGTGAAGTTTTGAGGGAAAGTAAGTTGGCCCATTGTGATGGGTCAGAGAACAAAACACATGGACGCAGACGTGGCCAGTTTGCCGTTGGGTAAATGATGCATGTAAACTAATCTGTGGAGGTTTGCTGGGATTCTGGAGCAGGCTGGACCCCAGACACCGTAGGTGTGCTTTTCTTCCAGGGAGACTTAGCACACAGCGCTGATGAGGCCAAGAGTTTCTTAGAACAGAATCTCTGTTGCTCATCACAAGTAACTCTTACATCCATTTCCAGCTTCCAGCTTCTGATGGAAAACAGGAGCTGGGGACCCGAAGCGTGGGTCACGATTGCTCTCAGCCCTCATCAGGCCTGGGCAGAAATTAGTGTCTTCTGATTGAATCCTTGGGACGGGTCTAGATTGGCTCTCATTCTTTAGCAGATATATTATTTGTGTGATTGGTCAGAAAGCATGTTTTGTTCTGCAACTTCTTTAAAGTTTTCACAACAAAGTTTTTACATTTTTCAAGTGTATTTGTCAGTGATAGAAAATGATAGAGATTCTTCTGCCAGTCTGGCTTCTCTTATCTTATGGGTGCAAAGTGATCAGCCTCTGGATAGATCCAGAGCCCGGACTCATAAACCTGACACCTGAATTGCATGGACCAGTCTTCAGTTACAGGCTCTCTTTTCTCTGCTTGTGTCTTCTCCAGGACCCTGCTTTCTCAGCTGTGATTCACGAGAGACTCCAGGTCCCCAACACCATCCGAAAGGCCTGGAATGACCGAGATAACCGCTGTGACATTTGTGCCACGCACCTGAACCAGCTGAAGCAGGAAGCCATCCAGATGGTGCTGACGCTGGAGCAGGCGGCTGGCAGTGAGCACTATGATGCCTCACCTGGCTCACCCCCTCCGCTGTCCAACATGCCCACCCTGGGAGGGTCCCGGCACGTGAGTGGTGGGCTCCAGCAGCCCAGGGATTGGGCCTTTGTGCCCGCTGCCTACGCCACCTCCAATTACACAGGCCTTGTCAACAAGCACAGCAGCAAACCCAGCAGCCTTGGAGTCAGCAATGGGGCAGAAAAGAAGAGTGGGTCCCCTCCCCACCAGCCCAAGGTCAGCCTCCAGATGGCCACCAGTCCCAGCAATGGGAACGTTCCCAATGCAGTGGCCATTCAAGCCCACCAATACCTGGATGGCACCTGGTCTCTTTCGAGGACCAATGGGGTCACTCTGTATCCCTACCAGGTAAGCACTTCCATGAGCGAGGAGAAGCAGGGTTGGCTAGACTCACAGAAGAGAAGTAGACAGCCCTTCCTTTCTCCACTCTTCTCCCGGGAACTCCCCAGCCCAGACCCCGGTGCTCCTTGGGACCCACACAGCTCTGTCACCAGAGTGATGTGCCCAGAGCAGCCTGCTCTGAGGCTGCACCTGCCAAACCTTCTGCTCCTGCCTGCTCTCTGCTCAAGCAGCATTTTCTTCCTAAGAGACCCTGTTGGTCCAGGCAATGCCAAGTGTGTCACGGCCACCAGGTCTACTGCACGATCTGGCATTTAGCAACATGAGATTCCAGAGCAGGCCCTGGAAACACTTGGACTGAGGTCCAGGCCTGTCCACTTGTCAGCAGTTTGACTTCACACACAGGGTTTGCCCAGCCTCAGGTCCAAATCTCTCAATTATGAACGTATGAGATTCTCAGTAGTGAGAATAAAATAATGTGATGTAGCTAAGATACATAGTCTAGTAGCTCATATATGATAAGAGATTGTTGTGCCTATTAAAAGAGATTTTAGAAATTAAGACAAATGAGTCAGATAATTTTGAACTAAAGAATATGGAAGAGTCGCTAAAATCATGGTTTTAATGCAATCTGTTGATAGGGTTGGACATCACTAAGAATAAAATATATGAGGAACCAGTGACCTGGATTAGCACTAAGCTTCCAGAAAATGTAGACACCTTTTCTAACCCTCCTACCTTGACAGACCTTAGCTGTTTTCTACATGAAACTTTCATACATCCTGTTGGGCTTGGGTAATCCAAAATGTTTTTCCCTTTTTGCTAATTTAAATTACTATAAACCTTCACATCTGCCCATAGAAATGAGAAAGCAGGTCTTAAATTTGCCAGGGGACTTTTAAGAATTGTTCTGATTTTTCTTTTCTATCGGATGAAGGCTGGACTTTGTCCTCTGTGTCATTTGTATGGGGAGTAACAGAGGGTAATGATTGTCCCTGGGGCACAGAGGTGACCGTGGCTGTGGAGTGTCTTTGTCTAGGGAGATAATTGGGGTAAGAAATGACCCTAAAAATCTTTGATTTCTCACCTGTCTGTGCTCCACCGTAGGGTGGGTGGCCTTCCAGTGATGTGGGGACTCAAATTTCTTCCATTAAATATGTCACTCTTTTCCGGGGCCCTCAGAGTCCTGCACGAGATCTTCTGAAATCAACTGAGCAATGAGGAATATAAACTATGGAGGACCTCACAAGGGGATTTGGTTGGGGCCCAGCCTAGCCTGGAAGGAGTTTACTTCCATCCATATTTAAGTGACAAAAATCCTGTGTCCTGGTCCCACTTTCCTACAGAGGAAGCTGAAAAGCCAACCAGGCCTCGTGGCCAGGAGAAAAAAAAAACAAGTTAATGTATAGATAATACAAGTTTATTACATGGAGCAAAGGTACAGGGGAACATAAACTGAGTTAAATGTGGCTGGTAAAATTTCTGGTGGCTTTTCTAGAGTGTTTCAGAGGATATAGAGTGTGTCTCCTGTTGCCTTGAAAGAAAATGGGAAGCACCGATCGTTCTCCTAGGAAGGTTTTGGGGTGCTGAGCTCCTCATTTACTGACATACAACACACACATTCCGTTTTGACTGGTAGCCACACAGCCAATGACAGTCCTCTCCACACCCCAGGAGAGTAGCTTTCCCTGCAATAGCTGCTTCCAAATTTCCTAGGTTCCGCTGAGCAGTTTCCTGTCAACATCTTTCCCACCTTTCCTTCTCGGGCCTGGCATACCAAAGAAAAGGAATCCTGCAGCTGAGCTGCCACTTACTGCTCAGATGGAATTTCCATGTGGTTTATATAAATATAATAAGGGGCACATTATCATTTAATCTTGAAAATAACTGCCCAAGGGAGTGCGTTAGCCATCCTCCCCTCACTAAGAGAAGTAACTGATGGCCAGAATATAGAGATGAAAGATTTGTGTCGGCTCCCAGTGTTGGGAGTTTTAGTCCATGATTGTTTTGGGCCTGTGGTGAGGCAGCACATACTGATGGGAGCCTATGGCAGAGCAAATGAGAGTGAGGAAGGGGCCAGTGTCCCACAATCCTCCTCGAGGGGACACCCTCTTCAGTGACCTGAAGACCGCCCGACAGGCTATACCTTCAAAGGCCCCATGCCCTCCCAGTGGTACCACTCTGGGGACAAGGCCTTTAACCCATGAGCCTTCAGAAAGACGGTCAAGAGCCAACCTGCTAGTGGACAGGAATAGAATATGGATTTTTTTTTTTTGCATTGTGGAAGGATAGTCTTTTTTGTTTATAATTTTAAAAATACCTGTATGTTATTTTGAAAATTATAAAAAATGATCCGTTTGTTATAAAATAAACTATATGACAAAGCTTAAATACGACTTAAAAAGTCTGCATCACCCCAAAATAAACTATGTAATATTTGGATATATTTTCTCCTGAGATTTTATATACTCACAATTTGTAAAATTGTGACTAGTCTCAATTTTATGTCCTGCTTTCCATCTTCTGAATTGGATACATTTTCCCATCTCATTGTGTATATTTCTAAAAATATTCTGAACTCTCTACGTGTATCCTAATTTGTATAACCACGCATCAGTTAGAGTTCAGGCTTTTGCGAGTGTGAATAAAATGGTCAATTGGACATTTTTCCACCCAAATGGTCTTTTCAGCACATCCCATAGTTGTGCTAGCCATACTCCTGTTACACAGAAGACTCACACTTCACTGCCACACCCCAAGGGCCTTGGAACGAGTATCAGGGACCAGGCAGAGACTCGGACTCTGCACCAGTGCTGGTGAGTGCAGGCAGAAGGACTTGAAACGGTGCTTTTATAAAATATTCAAAGTGCGGTGAAGATACATGAGAGGGAGAAATCCTGAGGATGCTGCTTGTCAGGAAGATTAGGAATGGTGGTGCATTTCTTCTATGTTTGCACTAATTCTGTTCCTCTTCTCCTATCTTAGATGAAAGCGAATTTCTTCTACAAGAAGTAGTTTTAAAGTTCTAACCAAGTGTGAGAGAGTTGGGTGGGGTGGTGCCTTGGGCTAGAGACCTAGGTCCAGTCAAGCAGGCCTCACGGTGAGGGAGGGAGCAGGCAGGTGCCCTTCCCGTGCAAGGCAGGCTGGTGGATGCAGAGGTGAGAGCGTGTAGAAGGGATGGGAATCCAGCCCTAAGAGGCAAGGATGGGTTGATGTGGCTTAAAGCCAGATGCAAAGATGACTCGCATAAGCTGCCAATTTGAGACTGTCCCCAATTCATGTCATTGCTTCTTTCCAACTCCAGAACAGATGAATTCATGCATTTTCCCTGAGTAATAGTTACAAGAGCCAGAGGAAATCTTTCTGGGGTAAAGAGCTTTGGGGCCTAGCTCTGAATCAGGATCCCCTGGGTTGTGACGGTGTCATCCTGCTACCCCGCGCTGGGGGCTGTGTCCCTGGCCAGACTGAGTGTCTCCCACCGTAGACATCTCCCTGCAGTCTTCCTGCAGTAAATATTGTGCAGTTCATGTCCTAGCCAGCTCATCAGAGACGGCTGACTGCTCTGAAAGCTGACCTCATTTTTCCTGCTCACCCACACTCCTGCCTTCCTCCCCACAGAACAAATCTCCTCTGGATTAGTGCCAAAGCTCCCTGGGCAGGGGCATCTAGGTGTGGTCACTACTGAGAGTGCTGCTCCTTACCTCAGAACCCGAGCCTGTGGGGATGAGGGAGAAGAGGAAGTTTGCCCTTCTGAACTGAGGCCATGAGGATGAAAACAGGGAGACTGGGAAAATGATGGGCAGCAGAAGGGTCCCTCAGATTGCTCAAGCCTCCTGTCACCGTGTAATAATCTCCCATGGGCCCAGTAAGGAGATTCTTGGCTCTTTTTTTGATTTATCTTTCATATTTCTGAAGAAACTCCAGAAAGAATAGGAACTTGTAAGGATCACAGATAAATATGATTCTGTCTAGAGGTAAGAAAACATGAGGCACTGAGAGTACATCAAATATTGAGCAAACCACAAGGAAAAATTCTCATTAAATATCTCAGCAAATTGATAACATAGAAGAGGATAGGAGTAGTCCTTTCAAAGAAAGAATATCTTCTGTTAACTTGGAGACAGTACAGTCTGTGCATACATACAAAAATCAGAAAGTCCTCTCAAATTTTCATTTGACCACACGAACTTTGACTTAGAGAAGACATATCTAGATTAATTCCTCATAATCATCCATAGATTAATTACCTCTTTTTGAATGGCAGCTGCTGAAGCCTGATTTACACGCATTATAGTAACAACTGCAGGAGCGACTGTGCATGTAATGCTTGGAATCTTAGGTTGTTGGTGCTAGAATACAGTTTTTAGGGTAGTTACTCACTTTTGCACCATGGTAAGAGATTTGGAGACAGAGTCCTAGTTGTGGTTCTACCAGCTGTTAACAGCAGTTTAGTAGCTTAGCATCTGGAAATTCTACCTCATGAGGTGATTGTAGGAAACAATTTTTTAAGAGTGTGAAAATATTTTATTAACCATAAAGCAGGAATACTGATCTGAATGATCTATTTCAAATCTGTCCTTATCAGAGGAGAAAAGTGAAGCTGAGAGATTTAAAGTGTCTTTGGTTCAGAATGTCCTGAATTATAGTTTGATCTCTTTTGCTAGATTATAAATTCCTAGAGAACAAGAATTTATTTTGTACCCATGTCCCTGACAACAGATAACATGTGCAAAGCAGAGAAAGCTCAAATTTAAGGGAAGCACTAAAATTATTTACCATGACTGGCCCTAGATTTAGGAGGAAAAAAAAATCAGGTCACATGACCTAGAGATCCCACGATTTTTGATGAAAACAACCAGTTATTTGATTTTTGGCTGATCTTTAACCTGAAGTATCTTAATCATACTCAGTAAATCCTTGGATGCAGTGAAGAGAATCTGGGTGGCATTTTGATGTCACACTCAATACAGGAACATCTGAAAAGAAAGAAATTTGTTTCATAGGATTTT